ATATATATATATATATGCATATATATATATATATATATATATATATATATATATATATATATATATATATATATATATATATATATATATATATAATCTTTTAGTAGATCTCAATTTAATTAAGAGCAAGAAGAAGCACAGAAATGGAGTTACGCCTGCGTCAATGTGGGGTTTATACTTATTGTTGTTGAAGGGATTTATGGGAATTTTGACTGGAATTTTTATACACTTATTAGACCTAACATGAGCAATTACGAAAAATGTAACTATATAGACCGCCTGGCAGGAATCGAACCTGTGGCTCTGCGATTCCGGTGCAACGCTCTAACAGAGCTACATACAAAGGGACAGTTGTCGAGCTCTGACTACAAGTTGCGACTGTCTGGAATCGCAGGGCGGCAGGTTCGATTCCTGCCAGAGGGTGTATAGTTGCATTTAATTTTCGCAACTGCTCCTAGTTAGGTGTAACAAATGTATGAAAATTCCACTCGAAATTCCATCTACAAATCCTTTCAACAATTAGTTATATCGAGTGAGATGTCCAAAATCGTCATGATGTCAACTCATGATTGATCTAAAGTTATCGCGCATCCTCTGACTCATAGTATCCTCAGGTATATGACATCTTGAAATTATTTGAAGATATTAAGGATTCGATCATTATTTCGGATTAATACATCATTCGATCTACGACACCCCTATAAACACGTAACATCATAGCCAATCTTTTTTGGATGTTCAAATCGCCAAATGAATGATACACAAAAACGTTTTAAGGTTTTATTCATTCAAATGTTCATTCACCATACGCCATTAGTCTATAAATTATACGAGTATGCAATTGAGTTATTATCGTGCATGCATCAGCGCGTATTTTGTTGTTTCCAGTATGTCGTCGGCCACTAGAGTAGGATTCCGGCAAAAGTTTGTGATTGGTGTAATGGTATAATGATTAAAAGGGATGGTATAGAAGGTATATAATTTAGGATTATTACAAGTGCCTGGTTGTTGATTCTTGACATTTTAACGATTTTGAAACCAACAATTCGCAATCAAACTTTGCAATTTTACTCGACATTTTAAGATGCTCTTTGCAGCTATGGTAATCAATTTCGTTCGTCTTGTCTAGATCAAAATTTTGTCTGTATAGCTGGAATCATCCATATGCTTGCTGGCAATGAAAATGACTTACAGTATTTAGAATGGATTACATGCATGCATTGTCCCCCTCGATTTCCAGCTATTGTTTCGTGTGCATTTCGTGAAGCAAATCCAGAAAGTGTCTATAAATTTCGGTTCTTTTTTCTAATTCCATGAAACATGCATGTCAATTATATCTGATATTAAATTGGAGCATTGGATAAAAGCTCGTATACGATACAAATATTCGCCCAAATTGAAATTAACGAAATTAATACAGCTCAAGCTTAAACCAAGTTTTCTCAATCCTTTTCCTCAATCAATAATTTATGTTTGGTCGACGAAAGCTATCTTTACCCAAAAGAAGTCGACATTGATTAAATATCACTACGAATAAATTAAATAAATTAAAATGTCGCTCCGCTTCGCAGGCCACCTTTACTTCGCATTGGCCGCAACCTTTTGCATGCCTTTAAAAACCTATAGGTAATTTACTACTACTTTTTTTTCTATGCCGAACTGTCTGTTGGCTTTTCCATTGATACATGCGTGACATACACCCCATGGTCTACTGCAGTACTAGATGATGTGCCTTGTTCTTGCGGCACCTGAGCCGGAGCAAACATGTCTTGTAGGTCTCTCATTGTTGGTCTTTCCGTGGCATTATTCGATGGCAATTGACTTGAGTTCTGTATATTTAACCATGTTTCTTTGGTAGGATGAACGGATGATGTGGAAGATACAGTACCTCCAAGCTGCAGTTGCCGCATGTTCCTTTCACCAGGTACTCGCACTGCCCGTAATCGGTGTTCATTTGGCCTCTGCGAAGATATTTTTACGCTTTTCCAATTATTATCAATCCTATATGAAGTGAATTAAAGAATTAGGAGAAGATTTTTTGTATATGTTACGCAGCTAACACGTGTTCAAGACTAATGATTATATAATATAGATACCACTTGATGAAGACTATGATTCAATTTTTAATTTTTTAAGTGCGTTTTAATCAGCAAACAAACTTAATTAAAAGAGCTTGTTTAGCGCTTTATCTATAATAATTCTAAAATGAAGAGATCTTAGTTAGTACGAAAGAGAAGAAGATTGTGAAATCAGTCAGTAAGCTGTGCTTATAATAATATTGCTGTGAATGCATGTGGTGAGAATTTTCACTGGATCATTAACAATTGTACCTCATGATCAATTGCCAATTTTTACTATTTCGCAACAGGAAAAAAAGTGTAGCTAAATCGCATAAACTGGAAAATAAAGGTAACACAAAGTATTTTAGGTTTTGAATTAACTGTAACCGCATACACGACTTAGAAAAAAGTTGCCTATTAAAAATATTGCTCTGTCTAATGAAATTAGAATTTGGATTAGTATATCCATTGTTTCACATTGCGCGAAATATTCGGAATGCGAATGTATAGGTTGTCTACCTGATACGATCCTTTGGGCTCAATTTTCCAATGAAACTAACCTTAACTGTGAACAGACTTACTTCATTATAAGGATACTAAAGTAATGCAATGAAATTTCACACCATTTTTATGATTGCATTGTAAAGAAAGTTCAAAATGACTAATAAGTTACTTTTATGACTTTTGTGGTTATAACTGATTCACATTTGAAAAAATAGAGGTTTCGTAGCCAGGTTGAAACATTATTTATTGAACGTTCTCTGACTTAATGTTTATTTCTACGAGCTTTCGGTTATCAGTCTATAGCCTTCGACAGGTGTATACAAATGATTATAATTATAAAGGACGCTAACAGTTAGGTGGTATGAAATCTGAGACTATCCATGCTATGTTACAAATGGAGAATACTGTACATGTATATGTCATTAGATGACGTCACAACTATAGGGTGGACATTTGTAAAACAAAAACTAATACCAGTAGAAGGCTTAAGGCGGTTTTCCAGTCCTCGCACGAAGCTCCTCCCAGCCAAAGATTAGATATTATAAAGATGTGCCACTCGGCGAAAATTATGTCCGAGATTATTTTATAGCCGCCATTTTGCCAGTAAGCGTCAAATTCAACGCCATCAGTCTCTACATAGTAAAATCCAACGCCATCAGTCTCGCCGCCATTTTTGGCAGTAAGTGAAAATTATGGACACGCAAACATTAGGGAAATTAGTGGCACATCTTTATAGTATCTAATTTTTGTCCTAGCTCGCTGCGAGTGCTTGCATCTAATTAAAATTAACTGTTTGGCATTGTGATTGGATGAAAGGCTCATGCATGCAATCGCAGCGAGCTGCGAGGAGCTTCGTGCGAGGACTGGAAATCCGCCTTTATACATAGCTTGTGATTTAGTTTGAAACAGACAACAGTAAAAATAAGATTTAGCATTAAAATGAATCGAGAATTACTCAATACGCACAATAATGTTACCGTGGTTGTGACGTCAGGCATACCCAACATGGCGAAGTGCATAATGATTTTGTTTGAAATGAAATGTAATATATTTTATTCCAAGAACGATAAAGAAAATCTGTAAAAAGGTTTTGAAATACACTGAATCTCTATGACTGTGTCTCTATTCCAAATGGGAGAGACTTTAATAAAGTCACTTTATTGCTATTTCTCTTTAAATTATATGGTGGCGGAGATCGCTTCCACAAGGATTACCTGCGAAAGTAAGCGAGCTATCCAAGGGCGACCTCTTCCCTTCAGAAATTCATACGCATAAACTGTGCGAAGATCTGGCGTTACCCAGATCTTTATTTTCCTTACTCATTAGTTTAAGGCAAAGAAGCAAGATGAAGCATATGCATTATAAACTATAAAGTCATGTCATTTGCATGTGGTGAGCTGATATGAAAAATCTGGAATAGAGAAAAGTGGAAACCCAGACTGTTAAACAATTTTGTTATCCTTATTCTTCCAGGAATGTCATTGAATGTAGTTATAAAATGTTTCGTCTATATTAATTTTGTGTCACAGAACAAACACCGGCGAAAAGCGTCTGCGCATGCGTCAACCTTGACCGAAACTTAACTTGCGAATTTGATGCCAAAGTATCCCGAAAGTTGGAGGTTAAAACGGAAGTTAAAACTAGGAGTGATCGTGATCAGTGAAATGAATATAACTGGAACGCTACCTTCAGATAAACTGGCGGACACACGTGTCAGGGGGCCAAGAGTCCCGAGTACTTATCGTTCGCGGTTCTCTCGCGTAAACAATTATTCGAAAAAAATAAGAAAAAGCTAAAAGTGAAGTCTACTAGGAAGTTTTAGTTACTGAATAAATGCATTAATAGAAAGCTTTGTGCGCTGTTAAATAGCTTTTTTGTACATTTTAAGGTTACAGAACACCTTTGAGTGTTAATTTTGCCTAAAATTTTTTTATTGGTTTCCATCAAAGCATTAGACTAGTTCTACTATCTGACCAAGTTTGGACGAAAATTGTTTAAAACTCGCAGAGTTATTTAATAAAATACATTTCGCTTGCAATAAGAAAAACATTGAAAATGTAATATTCAAATTCAATTTTCTCCCGAAGAATTTCGTGGTATATTGAAAAACAATGTAATACGCTATGACGTCACGCTAATTTATGCGGCTTATGCCAAAAAGCCGGAAAATACAAATGGCTTCCTCAGAGGAAAGGTCCGCCTTCCTTTTTTGTGTATTCGGACAAATAAATAATAAAACAATTATTCAATTCGGTTCTCGCAGGATATGAGGAATTATTAATAATAAGGTCTCGGTTTCTGTTATCTTCTTCAGCCTTCGGCTTCGGCAGATAACGCAAACCTCGGCCTTAATAATTCCTCGATCATATCCTACTCGACCTCATTCAATAATTGTTTAATATGAGCTCATGATTGTGTCGGTTTTGTTTGTTGTACCGAGGTGATGATATCGTGGCCCAAACAACCAGTTCAGAGCAAATAACCACCAGATGATCTTGATACGCGGAAAAGTACTGGCACTAGTTGTCAAATAGAAATCCATTTCGTGATTAAAACAACTGAATATCTCCTGTAATATACTTTATTTCGATTCCATATTTTTGTCAGAGCTATAGTTCTCATAACCAAACATAATTACAAAATTTCAACTAGTTTCATAAAGAATGACGAAAGATATAATTGACTGAACACATCAAAATGGATTCTATTCGGAAAACCCTTTCTGAGCGCTGATTGGCTAAAATACGAACACGAGATCACCTGGCAAGAAGTCACTCACTGTCCCTGCATGGATAATATGTTAAAATCCCGTGGACAATAATGGATTTATAATTGCCGAAAGAAGTAACTGCACAAACTCAAGGCCCTAATCTCGTTTTCAACGAAATAAACGCGATCATATACGTCTCTATGCTCTAGACGAGTGAAACTACCAGCCATGCCTGAGGCCCGTCAACCATATACCAACCACTGGTAAGGTAAGATAAGGTAAGGTAAGGTAAGGTAAGGTAAGGTAAGGTAAGGTAAGGTAAGGTAAGGTAAGGTAAGGTAAGGTAAGGTAAGGTAAGGTAAGGTAAGGTAAGGTAAGGTAAGGTAAGGTAAAGTAAGGTAAGGTAAGGTAAGGTAAGGTAAGGTAAGGTATAAGGAAAGGTATAAGGTAAGATAAGGTGAGGTAAGGTGAGGTGAGGTCTTAAATAAAGCTTCTTAAATATAGGGTCTTAAATAAAGCTTCGAGAGGGTCAGGATTTTTAATCTTTTTGATTAGATTTGACGTGACAAGGTAAAATAAGAAATTTTCTAAAAATGTACCGCTGGGATTTGCGTTTTATTGCCTAGTTTTAAAATTATCGGCATTCGAACAGCGACGTAAAAAAGCGCGTAGGTTCGAATGCCGATCAGTAATTTTAGAGCTGTAGCATTCTGATTGGCTTGGAGCGAAATTGTCAACAAATGCACTGATTGGTCGAGAACAAAATTCTCCCTTGTTCGCCTGATTAGCTAGAGCATGATTAAACTGGGCATGGGGCTGAGTTACCCGTTTGTCGTATTACTAGTAGACGGTTTGCTGTGGCCTTGAAAAGTGCCTAGAAAACGATTTCCGTAGTGCATGTCTTGGAACTGAAATCCTGAAACCTTGCGTTTTCTCACAAACTGCTATTTTATTTTCACTAATTTCACGACTAACTTTTTCTTTGTTCAACGACACGGATGGATGATGACACACGAATGCATAACTCAAAATGACTAATTCCTATGATCCAGTCTCTACATTTAACAAAAGACCGTTTTGCTTGGATCATTTTGAGTTATGTAATTTTAAGCGCGTTGGACGTAAACAACAAATCTTGTCTACAACTTTGGGAAGGTGCCGGTATCGCTTTCTAAAATTCTCAGTTTTGGC